CTCAGAATTGTGGCTTAGTGGTAGAGTGCTTATGTGGCATGCATGAAGCCCTGGGTTCAATTCCTCAGTACCACACACACAGAAAAAGCCAGAAGTGGCGCTGTGGCTCAAGTGGTAGAGTGCTAGCCTTGAGCAAAAGAAGCACAGGGACAGTGCCCAGGCCCTGAGTTCAAATCCCAGGACTGGCAAAAAAAAAAAAAAGACACCACATCAAAGTTGTCCAAGAATCAAATAGTAGAGCAATAGATGGCTTCATTGTTGACACATGACACAAACCACCAAAAAGCAACATAAGACACAAAACAGGTAAAAATAAAACACTGTCACTAATACCAGATTAATATAAAATCATTATATCATTAAATTTGCTACATTAGAAATAGTCACTTCAGAATTATTAGGTATAATTTACAAAGCTCCAAAAATAACAGCACAAACCCATAAATATGATAGGCATTTTAAAGATAGCAACAGAAAAAAACCAAATGTAAGAAATATTAATGCAAAAGCAATTAACCAAAATGTTTTCATTCCTTTCTGATTTCCTTTTCTGTATGTTGTATAACTATTTTCCTTAAGAAATGTTTTCCCGATACTAAGCTTGAGTTTCTTTATTAATGACTATTAATGGTAAGCAACTGAAAATATCCTTGGAAGAGTTATGGCTTAGAAGACCATTTAAATGAACAAAAAAGCTACAGCTATCAAGGAGATAAATTTAAAGAAACAAGGTATGGTGATATACACCCACAATTTTAACACTAGAGAGGCTGAGGAACAAGGATCAGAATTTCTAGGCCAACATGGGCTACCCAGTGAGGCCCTGTCTCAAAAACCCAACCTGAACATCATCGTCATCATCAAAATCATCAAATTTTAAAAACAGGGAAAAAGAATGTAATGAACAAAGCACAAAAAAGGATTGAAAATGCTTGTGAGATACTAACTAAATTTGAGATTTTAAAAGTGAAATTAATCAACTATGCTAATATCACTGTACATTTTATTTCATGTTATAAGCTACATTTACTTTAAGCAAGCTAAGCATGAAAATTACTTCCATTTTCTCACAGATTTCCATTTCTAAAATGTGTCATGCCTTGTACATATCCAAGTTTGTATTTGGTGTGTTTTTCCTTCAGCCTATAATTTCCTTTACATCTCTGATATTTACCTTTGAATGATAGTTTCACTGGATATAAAATAACATTTTTTTCTTTAACATATTAACAGATATTCTACTTTAGAGTATAGATTCTGATAAGCAATTTTTTTAGCTTTTCCATTGTTTCCTGTATATACTTTTTGGAGTTGGGTGTTATTAAACTTAGGGCTTTAGGCATGCAAATACTCTCTCAGGTACATCTTCAGTCCTTATTCCCTATATTTAATGTTTTTTTTACTGGCTTTCTTTGTTGAGTAAGGTGATCATACTATTCTTTGGTATGGTTTTCACTGCACTTATCTTGTTTGGGAATGGGTGTTCGGCTGGGCATGAAATTTTCATCATTTCTTCTGATCTCTGATTCTATTCCTTCTGAGATTCAAATTACAGATGTTAGAACAGTTGATATGGTTCCACTGGTCAAAGAAGCTCTGCTGGCCGGGTGCTGGTGACTTACACCTGAAATCCTAGCTATTCAGTAGGCTGAGATCTGAGGAGCATGATTCAAAGTCACCCTGGGCAGGAAAGTCCATGAAACTCTTTTTTTTTTTTGGGGGGGGGGTCCGGTAGTAGGGCCTGAACTCTGGGCACTGTCTTCAGCTCAAGGATAGCGCTCTACCACTTGAGCCACGTTGCCACTTCCGGCTTTTTTCTTTTGGCTTATGTGGTGCTGAGGAATCGAACCCAGGGCCTCAGGCATGCAAGGCAAGCACTCTACCACTGAGCCACCTTCCCAGCCCCTCCATGAAACTCTTATCTCCAATTAACCACCAGAAAACCGGAGTGCTGCTGTGGCTCAAGTGGTAGAGCACTAAAGTGGTAGAACTGAATTGCTCAAGGACAGAGCCTAGGCCCAGGGTTTAAGCCCCATGAGCAGAAGAAGGGGAAGGGAAAGAGGAATAAGGGGAAGAGGAATAGGGAGAAGGGGAAGAAGAGGGAGGAGGAGGAAGCAGCAGCAGCTCCCGCTGGTTTTCTTTGTATGGCAGTTTAGATAGTCTGTGTTACTATCTTTAGTTTTACTGATCATACTTTTTAGTGGTTATCTAATCTGTAGTTAAAATCATACAGGGAACTCATTACATCTCTAGATGTTGAATTTTGTTCTTTAGTATCTTCTTTATTTATCTCCAGTTCTTGTTTTCCTTCAAATCTCCCCAAATACTTCCTAACATTGTTTTATTCATCTGTTTCTGGGTCTATTTCCCTTTTTTTTTTTTGCAGATTTTTTTTTTTTTGACAGTCTTAGGGCTAGAACTCTGGGCCCAGGGGCTGTCCCTGAATCCTTTTGCTCAAGGCAGGTTCTCTACCACTTGAGGCACAGCTCCACTTCCAGCTTTCTTTTTATTGGAGATAATGTAGCTTAGCGGTACAGTGCTTGCCTAGCATGCATGAGGCCCTGAGTTCCATTCTTCAATACCACATAAACAACAAAAACAAAAATAACAAAACAAAATTGCAAAAAAAAAATATGTCTCAAGGACTTTCTTGCTCTGGATGGCTTCCAATTGCAATCCTTAGACCTCAGCCTCCTGAACAGCTGGGATTTCAGGTGTAAGCCACCAGTGCCAGGCTTGAATCTATTTCTATTGTCTAATTTTCCCACCAATTTGGGGTAAGATTTTCCTGTTTCTTCCCAGGTTTTTCTTTTCCCCACCCAGTCAATGGCTCCATTTTTGGATGTGTGAAGTTCATAGTCTTCCATTACTTTGGTTGATAACTAAGTTCCCTAAAAACAGCTTCCAGACTTATTTTTAAGTTTATTTCATAAGTGTTTATGGTGCCCTTATTCTTTGCATTTATATTAAGATGTGACTTTCCTGGTAGTTGCTCTGTTTCCAGCCTCTTGAAATTTCACTCTAAGCAAGCATATTGCTTAGATTAGTACTCACGCAAAAACTCAAATGGTTGAGTTCTTTCTCTAGGTATTTTCCTCTTTAATACCTTTCAACTCAGCGCAACTACCATTCTCTGCTTTGGAATGCCATCCCATGAGCTACACTGCAAAAAGCTAGAACCATATTGGGGATATTTCTTTTCTTTGTAATCAGAATCCCAAAGTGCTAGTTGTCCAAAATAGTGCTAGTTGTCTTGCTTTTCAACTTTTTGTTTACAATCAAAACCAGTTACTTCATCATGGCTGGAATGGTATTCTCATTTCCTTTTTCTTCTTTTTTAAATGGTGGTACTAAGCCAGGCACCAGTGGCTCATACCTGTAATCCTAGATACTCAGGAGGCTGAGATCTGAAGATCACGGTTCAAAGCCAGTTCAGGCAGAGAAGTCCGTAAGACTCTTATCTCCAATAAACCACTAGGAAACCAGAAGTGGTGCTGTAGCTAAAGTGGTAGAGGGTTCGCCTTGAACTGAAGAGCACAGGGACAGCATCCAGGCCCAGAGTTCAAGCCCCACAACCGACAAAATAGATAGGTAGGTAGATAGATAATAAAATGGTGGTACTTGGGTCGAACTTAAGGCCTTGTATTTGCTAACCAGGAGCTCTAATATTTGAGCCACTTCATCAAACCATTTTTTTTTTTTTGGGTCCGGTCGTGGGGCCTGAACTCTGGGCCTGGGCGCTGTCCCTCAGCTCTTCAGCTCAAGGAGAGCGCTCTACCACTTGAGCTACAGCGCCACTTCCGGTTTTCTGGTGGTTTATTGGAGATAGGAGTCTCACGGTCTTTCCTGTCCGGGCTGGCTTTGAACCGCGATCCTCAGATCTCAGCCTCCTGAGTAGCTAGGATTACAGGCGTGAGCCACCAGCGCCCGGCCATCAAACCATTTTTGGGTTAGGTATTTTAAGATAAAGTCTTACTTTATCCTGGGCTTACCTAGACTTCGATTCTTCCATTTGTGTTTCTCTTTCTGAAAAGTCAGTTGTGCACCACTACATCAAGCCAGTGTGTTTCCCCCACTAGTTTGGATGACAGACACACTACTGTACCCAGCCACTGAGATGGGAGTTTCATGAACTTTTATGCCCAAACTAGCATTGAACTGTAACATCTTCCCAATAACGCTAACTTAGAAGTAACTATAAGCTTGAGCCACAGTATTTGGTTCTAATTCTTTTTAAAAGTTAGTAACAATAGAATACCTTTATGCTATTCTTCTCCAATCATATCACCTTAATTTCAATTTGTTTGAATTGAATTACAAAAAAAGCCATTTGTTTATATAGCAGAGGTTTTGTTTCCTCTTATAAGACATGTTTCTTTTAATTGTCTTTTTTATTCTGACAATAAAAATAATAGCAGGGTGCCAGTAACTTACACCTGTAATCCTAGCTATTCAAGAGGCTGAGATCTGAGGTTGGAGGTTCAAAGCCAGCCCCAGCAGAAGAATCCATGAGACTCACCTCCAATAAATGACTCAGAAAAGCCAGAAGTGGCTCTGTGGCTCAAGAGGTAGAGCACTAGCCTTGAGTACAAAGAAGATCAGGGACAACACCCAGGCCCTGAGTTCAAGCCCTAGGACAGGCCAAAAAAAAAAAAAAAGCAAATAATCAGGACATCTACAAATTATTAGAATGTGAATAAACTATCTTATGACATCTAGATAATTTTTTTTTGTTTTCCTGGTCGTGGGGCCTGAACTCTGGATCTAGGTGCTGTCCCTCAGCTCTTCAGCTGAAGGCAGCACTCTACCACTTGAGCCACAGAGCCACTTCTGGCTTTTTCTGCTTATGTGGTGCTGAGGAATTGAACCCAGGGCCTCATGCAAGCAAGGCAAGCACTCTACCACTGAGACACCTTCCCAGCCCCATAGATGACATTTTTAAGAACTGAAGTGAAACATATCAAGAAAGTATAGGACAGGAACACAGAAAAACAATTTACCTCTTACTTGCCGGTCGATAACTCTCATTTCCTTTCGTATCTTCAAGGACCATTCATTAACCTAGGACAAATTTTAGGTAAAGAATTTCAAGAGAAACAAACACTTAACCAATTTTAAACAATTTTGATTAATTCTACTTTTTAGACACAAAATAAACTATTTTCTTCCTCAACACTTTACTCATAGTGCACAGACATTGCAAGTTTGTTAAAGTTCCCTAAATGAAAGCAGGCAGGAAGAAGTACTCAGGAGTATGGTATTCTGCAGTTACTCAAACCATTTTTTCCTTTTCCGCTGGGATTTGAACTCAGTGCTTGAAGATTATGCAATTTACTTGCTTAGCTGGTATTCTACCACTTAAGCAATGCTTCCAGCCAGGCTTTTGCAGGCTATTTTGGAGATGGACTCTCACAGACTTCTGACTGGCTTGGCTTCAAACCTTGATCCTCTGATCTTGGCCTCCTAAGTAGCTAGGACCATCAACATAAAGCACTAGTGCCCATAAACACTTTTTTCAGGAATGCATAGACAATGACATTTTTTTTACAAGCACAAGATAATCTTCTTTTAAATATAATTATTTCAAAAACTAGTTTATGTGTCATGTAAATTCATCTTTTCCTTCTCCCCTTTAACATTTTTTCCATTTTGCACAAAATATTCCATTAATCCACATCCCTTATTATCATGATATAATTCTCAGTAAGGAAAAACCCATGAAGCACTAATCAAGGAGTCAACTGGAAATACTGGTGTAGGTGTTAACAGTAAATAACTCTGATTATCAAATTTTAATGGTAGTACTGGAATTTGAACTCAGAGCCTTGCAAGCTACCACATCCCTAGCACTTTTTGCTTTTTTAATTTTTTTGTCAGTTGTGGGTCTTGAATTCTGGGCCTGGGCACTGTCCCTCAGTTCTTCAGTTCAAGGCTAGTGCTCTACCACCCGAGCCACAGTGCCACCTCTGGTTTTCTAGTGGTTTATTGGAGATAAGAGTCTCATGGACTTTCCTGCTTGGGCTGGCTTTGAACCCTGATCCTCAGATCTCAGCCTCCTGATTAGCTAGGATTACAGGCATGAGCCACCAGCACCCAGCTTATTTTTTTATTTTTGTGTATGGGTATTGGTATTTGAACTCAAGGCTTCATTCTCTCCCTTGGCACTCTCCTACTTGAGCCACAGATCTACTTCCACCTATTTCCTGGTTAATTGTAGATGAGTCTGGATTTGTTGGCCCAGGCCCATGACTCTTCTGCCCCAGCTGGCTTCAAACAGAAATCTTTAGCCGGGCGCTGGTGGCTCACGCCTGTAATCCTAGCTACTCAGGAGGCTGAGATCTGAGGATTGCGGTTCAAAGCCAGCCCGGACAGGAAAGACGTGAGACTCCTATCTCCAATGAACCACCAGAAAACCGGAAGTGGCGCTGTAGCTCAAGTGGTAGAGCGCTCTCCTTGAGCTGAAGAGCTGAGGGACAGCGCCCAGGCCCAGAGTTCAAGCTCCACGACTGACAAAAAAAAAAAAAACAGAAATCTTTAGATCTCAGCCTCCTGTGTAGCTAGGATTACGATTGAGCCTGGGTACTTTCATTATTTTTGGAATAGGGCCTGACTTGAAGTAGCTTGGATTATAATTCTATTTATACTTCAGATTATGATTCCACTTATACTACCATATAGCTGGGATGATAGGTGTGTGTCACCATGCCCAACTTTTTTTGGGGGGGTGGGGTAGGGTAGGGGGGTCCGTCAAGCTTGAACCAAGGGCCTGGGCACTGTTCCTGAGTTCTTTTTTTTTTTTCTCAAGGCTTTAACCATAGTGCCAACTTCCAGTTTTCTGGTGGCTAATTGGCCGTTAAGACTTTCTTTGCAGGCTGGCTTTGAACCATAATCCTCAGATTGTAGCCTCCTGAGTAGCTAGGATTACAAGAGTGAGTCACCAGCACCCAGTTACAATATCCAACTTTTTATTGGTTGAGTTAAGGTCTTGCAAACTTTTTGCCGTGTTGGCCTTAAAATACAAGTTTCCCAGTTTCAGCTCCCAAGAAGCTAAGCTAACAGGTATGGGGACTTAACTACCAAAGTCTTATGCAAATAAATTTTCTAATTCTTCACTTTTTTAAATCATTGAAGGAAAATCAAGAGTTGTCAGCTGATTAATCATTAAAAGTAGATTTATATGTGCTTTCTAGTAAAGGACTCATAAGAAATTTTAGAGAAGTGGCACTGTCATTTAAAAAACCCTCTCTTGGGCTGGGAAGGTGGCTCAGTGATAGAGCGCTTGCCTTGCATGCATGAGGCCCTGGGTTCAATTCCTCAGCACCACATAAACAGAAAAAAAAAAGCCGGAAGTGGCACTGTGGCTCAAGTGGTAGAGCGCTAGCCTTGAGCTGAAGAGCTGAGGGACAGCGCCCAGGCCCAGAGTTCAGGCCCACGATGGGACCTCAAAAAAAACAAAAACAAACAAAAAAAAAAAACCCTCTCTTGTTAGGTGCTATGACTAATGACTGTAACCCTATCTACTCAGGAAGCTGAGATCTAAGGATTTCAGTTTGAAGCCAGCTGGGGCAGAAAAGTCATGAGGTTCTTATCTCCAATAAACAATACTCAGAAAGAGCCGGAAATGATGCCGTGTCTCTAGTGGTAGAGTGCTAGCCTTGCACACAAAGATGCTCAGGGATGGCACCTAGGCTGAGTTCAAGCCCCAGGACCAGCAAATACAAACAAAAACAAAATAAAACAAAAAAACCCTCTCTGCTGGACACTGGTAGCTCAGGCCTGTAATCCTAGTTACTCTAGAGGCCAAGACCAGAGGTTCACATTTTAAAACTAGCCAGGGCAGTAAAGTCCTTGAAATTGTGGTTTTTTTTTTTTTTTTGGGGGGGGGTCCGGTCATGGGGCCTGAACTCTGGGCCTGGGCACTATCTCTCAGCTCTTCAGCTCAAGGCTAGCACTCTACCACTTGACCCACCGCCACTTCCGGCTTTTTTTTTCTGCTGATGTGGTGCTGAGGAATTGAACCCAGGGCTTTGAGCATGCAAGGCAAGCGCTCTACCACTGAGCCATCTTCCCAGCCCAGTCCTTGAAATTCTTATCCCCAATTTATCACCAGAAAACTAGAAGTGGCACTGTCACTCAAAGTGGTATAGCACTAGCCTTGAGCAAAAAGAGCTCTGAGTTCATGCCCCATGACCAACAAAACAAAAAATCACCAACCCTCTACATTCCCATCTTCTCAAAGAGATATTGCAACACTTAAATCTAATAAAACAAAACAGGAATAGAAGACATTCTGAATTCTGTATATTTATCCATGAACACTAAAAAACATTTTTGAAATGTCCTATCATTAAGCCAGGCACCAATGGCTATTGCCTGTAATCCTAGCTACGTGAGAGGTTGAGATCTGCCATCCCAGGCAGTCAAGTCCCTAAGACTCATAATTATCCAGCAAAAAATAAAAATAAAAGCTGGGAGCTGGTGGCTCACACCTGTAATCCTAGCTACTCAGGGGGCTGAGATCTGAGCATCACGGTTCAAAGCCAGCCAGGGCAGGAAAGTCCATGAAACTCATCTCCAATAAACCAGCAGAAAATGGGGAGTGGTGCTATGGCTCAAGTGGTAGAGGGCTAGCCTTGAGCTGAGGGACAGCACCCAGGCCCAGAGTTCAAGCCCCACAACCAACATAAATAAATAAATGCAAAGTAAAAATAAATGTAAGTAGAGGTTGGCTCAAGCTTTGAGTGTAAAAAGCTAAGGGACGATTTTTTCCTGTGGATCTACCCCCTCCGCCTGTGAAGACCCAGACTAGCCTCGCCAGCAGAACGTCATGCCGTGAGTGTCTCCATGATCCTGTCCTGTCTCCAGTCTCCTCTTCAGTCATTAATGGCATCCTAGTTCAGCTCTCCATTGGAGCTGAACTGGACTGGTGGTATTGTTTTTTTATCTTTCTTTCCTCTCTAGCATGTTTCCTAACTGTGTTATGTGTATTTGGGGGCTGCAGGCCTTTGTAACAAGTGGCTTCCTGCAGCCTGCTAACTGTATAATAAAGACTCCAATATTCTATTTTTTTTAAAAAAAAAAAAAAGCTAAGGGACAATGCCTGGCAAAAAGCAAATGCTGAAATAGACATTTTATGAGTTTCATAAAGAAGGGAGAACAATTTTCAACCATAAGTAACACTTAACAAAAATCTCCAGAACCTTCCTTGTAAAAATTGCAAAACAATCTGTTAGAAAATCCATTTTTAAACCTATAAAATCAAAAGGAATTTTTCAAAAGAAAAAGTTGCCTAAGAGAATTGGAAAAAAAAAAACACAAATAGCTAGTCATGTCTTAAACCAGTGCTTATAAATCTGAACCACACAAAAAGGCACCTGGGAAACTTACTTATCAATTCTTTTGGTCAATTGGTCTTGGGACTTGAACTCTGGACCTGGGCTCTGTCTCTGAGTTCTTCAGCTCAAGGCAAGCGTTCTACCACTTGAGCCACAGTACCACTGCTGGTTTTATGGTAGTTTATTGGAGGTAAGAGTTTCTGGGACTTTCCTGCACGGGCTTGTTTTGAACCATGATCCTCAGATCTCAGCTTCCTGAGTAGTTGGGAATACAGGTGTGAGCCACTGGCACCTGGCCTTACTTATCAATTTAATTGAGCTGAAGTAAAATCCTGATGATAGTGTTTTAAATCTCTCCCAATGGTTAAAATGCTCTTTTAGGATATGAAATACATATAATTCAAGACAGGCATTGGTGGCTCATGCCTGTAATCCTAGCTACTCAAGAAGCTGTAATCTGAGGACTGAGGTCTGAAGCAAGAAAGTCTTTCTTACCTCCAACTGACTACAAAAAGCCAGAAGTGGAGCTGTGGCACACTTAGCAGAGCTGTAGCCTTGAACAAAAAAAGCTTAAGGACAGTACCCAGACCCTGCGTTCAAGTCCCAGGACACACACACACACATGCCACACACACACACACGCGCCACACACACACACACACACACACACACGCCCCTGTCCAAGACAAAGAGCTTCAAGAATATATATCAAACAACTTTCATAAC